TTTTTTTTTCGCATTTTCCTAGAACTTTGAACTATTTTTTTTTATTTCCTATTTTTTCATCTTGGTTGGAAAGTAAATGTTGGGCACGGGACCGGTGAAAGTTGAAAAATCGTCTCATCCGGGGGAAAACCCCGGCAGGGCATACGTAGGTCGTATTCATTTCCTCTGAACTGTGACGAAAATGAAAAATGAGAGAAATTTTTCGAAAACTCAACTTTCTCCTCGACTTTGAGAACCTCAGCACTTTCCCGCTTTTCCTGCCATGAAAATCTGGCGAAAAAGGGGACGAAAAACCCGTTCGGTTTGGTCTCGACGTATCCTGCAAAGGGTCGAAAGTATGCTTCCCTTAATTTCCGGCTCTACTAAATTACACCCTGCTCAATTTTCTTGAGAAAGAAAACCTTCTTTACTGCTAAGAATTCTTCTTTTCCAATTTTCCAAACAAAACGTTACGTCTTGTATCTTGCGTAATTAATAAAAATAGAAAAAAACACAATATGTTGAATAAATTGCGATGTGTGGCAAGATAGGACATCTATGACGATGACGATGTAGCGATAGAGCAAGAACAGCGATATGAGAGATTAATTTCGTTGGGGTTGGGGCAGGTCACATGGTATTATCTCGTTTCGGTGGCACGGGACAGTGAGCTTTTAGGGAATGAAAGCACGATAACCAGCGAAGGAAATTGCAAAATTATTTGAAGAGTCGAAAAATCATGGCGGGAGGTTCACCGTCACCCAAGCCCCGTCATCAAACGACCTTCGCGAGTTCGCTTGCGTAATATTTTTATCGGCCGAAATTACACGTACGTTACACACACATACGCACGCACGCACGCACGCATACATTCTTTCTCTCTCTCTCTCTCTCTCTCACGAGTCCGACAGCTACCGAGCACGAGAACGGTCGGGGGCACGTATTTTCGGTCGAGTGTGAATATGTACGCCGCGCATTCTCTGCCTTCTTCCTTCTTTTTTTCGCTTTCGCGTTTCATATTTATGTACTGGTGGGAGAGATATACCTTGGCTCGTAAAATCAGTCAGGTGTTAAAGTTTACATGTTCCGAAAAGTGATACAGAGTAATTCGAGACACGTAGAAGGAGACAATCAGCTCGCGTGAATTCGCAATTGCCTCTTCTTTCTTTCTTTTTTTTTTTTTTTTTTTTTTTTATTATTATTATAACGATTTGGCGAGCAGATTTTAGATATATACATGCGAGTATAAGCGTGAGGACACCTATTGATGGTGTAAATTAATTGTTTCTCGCTCTACTCTTGTCTTCTAATTATTTGATTATACATCTGTCGTTTCGGACGTGACTTATACAATGTAAGATATTAAATAAATAAAAGTAGTAGGCGTCCTAATAACGTATAGTGTCACTGTAATTAAAATGTTTTAGCATCTTTTCATTTTCTAAGGAAAACTTGGAATTCCTATTAGCAAAGTGAAATTGTTATTATACAGGCTGTTACGAAACATACAATGTTTAATAATTTCAGTTTCCTTCCAATTCGAAATAGACAATAATACGTTTCAAGTATATTATCGATACTGCCATTCAGAAATGAATTTCGCGATCCAACATTCAGGATATTTTTACAACATGCAACTTCATCAATCTGTGTCACACAGATTAATAATTAACTTTAAATTGTAACCTCAGTGTATTTTTTCCTCCGATACGTCTATATGTGGGTGTGTGTGTGTGCGATCTTTCGATCA